TCTTGGCCATGCTTCACTTGAACAGTGACTATGATCAACCCTGGAGCTTACAGAGCCTGTGTCCTGCAGTCAGGTTGTCCTACTTGATGCACATAGCGAGTCACTTTTAATCACTGTTCATTGATTAACAAGATAAAGCTGCTCAAACTCTGATGCCCTTTTGCTGATTAATCAGGATTTCAGCCAGGGATCTCTTCTGCCATTTTTTAAGCCAAAACTTGTACACTCAGCTAGCTGTAGCTTAGAAAACGTTGAGATCCTTGCTGGTGAAGGTGCAGCTTCAGCATCCTTGGAGCTGTGACTCCGAGCCCCTGGCTGGAGAGGAAGGTTATGGCTAGGAGCCGCTGGCAGAAAAACCTGGTTGGCAGGCTTCATAGTGCTGTGAGATGGAGATGTCTGAACTGCTGGGGAGGGAAAATTAAAGCTGTCCCATGCCAGTTGAGCAGGAAACCATGCATTTTTCAACTCTGCATCCTCAGTTGCCCCTGCTTTCCCTGTGGCACAGGCTGGGCGTGAGAGAGGATGTTGCCTTCTCCTCTCGATAGAGCCATCCGCTCTTGTCTGAGGAGCTGCGGCAGATGAGCTGGTAAGAGAAACCCTTCCCGTGGGTGCATCGTGCTGGGTAATCTGCCAAGCTGCAGCACAAATCAATGTTGCTTGTTCTGCTACTAGTTTGATTGTGTGTGCGTACAGTGTTCTATCAAGGAGGGAACATGTGCTCTTTCTGTCAGTGAAATGAATAAGGCACGCCTGGTGAACAGGGAGTAGCTTGTGTGGGCAGCGATGATGGAGCTGGAGAGAGGCAATTAATCTGTCTGACCCATCCAGCTGCTTCTCTTTGGCTCTAGGAGAATGTATTATTGAATTTTATTATTTAATAATTAAGTTGCAGTATTACCAGAGGACAAGGAATAGGATAGAAAATAGTGTACAAAAAAGAGAATTTCATTCTATAAATTGATGGCCTGATCTCTTGAGAGCTGCCACATACCCACTGCAAAAACGAGCACTGTGAAATAACAGGGACACCTAAACCAGCTGGGGACTAAGAAAAACACTTGTAGGATGAGGTGGAAAAGGGTGGGAGTTTATCTGAGAAAAGAAACGGAGATACACATATGATGCATCACATGTGCTGGGGTGCTTTTGTGCTTCTCAAGCGTAAGATTCAGACAACCAAGGAACAAAATTAACAAGTAAGCCCACAGGCTGAGCTGTGTCCAGGCTTCTCATGGAACGCGCTCGCACAGTGTTGGCGTGCCTGTGTTTCTGGGAAATGCAAATCGAGGCGTTTCGTACAGTTATTAACCGACATATCTTCTGACAGACACTTTTGTAAACTTTCCTCTCCTACTTACTAGAAAACAGGGAGGAACAGCCTGAAAGATGCTTCTCATTGAAAACGTTCAATTTCCTACGAGATGTCAAATTTATGTGACTGTCAGGCTCACCTTTAAATCCGAGGTGTGGCGGCAGTATGCTCTGGATTTAGTGCTCAGGTCCCGTCAAGTTTGTAAACAAGATGGATTTTTCTGTTCTGCCTGACAGAGGGTGCGAGCAGGAATCTCGCGCCAGTGTTCAGACTTTGATGCCTGTGCTGGTTTTGGCTGGGGTAGAGTTAATTTTCTTCACAGTAACTAGTATGGGGCTGTGCTTTGGATTTGTGCTCAAAACAGTGTTGATAACACAGGGATGCTTTCGTTATCGCTGAGCAGTGCTGACACAGAGTCAAGGCCTTTTCTGCTTCTCACCCCACCCCACCAGCGAGCAGGCTGGGGGTGCACAAGAAGCTGGGAGGGGACACAGGGACAGCTGACCCCAACTGACCAAAGGGATATTCCACACCATATGGCGTCACGCTCAGCATATAAAGCTGGGGGAAGAAGAAGGAA